TTTCCTGGATCGTATAGCAAATTTCTAATTACAGAAAGGTATCGCGCGGTGAGAGCTCGAAGATGGAGATTCTGATGAGAGCAACTTTGAGATCCCCCCTTTGAGCTTGGCACGAGAACTGAATCAGAACTCTTTTGTTGTAATTTATTAAGACAGATTTGCCGACTCGACCACAACCACTTCGGACATACGCAGGGTGCTCAGCTACTTACAACAATAAAAAAAGTAACAAGGTGGGGGCAATTAGATTTCTCTCAGGATCGGAAAGAGATAAACTCTGGCAAGATTGGCATTGGCTGATAGTCTGTCCTGGTGTACCGTAGTTGGATGATACACAGGCCGAAACATTGAAATTAAACCTACAAGGAGAAGAGAACATATAAGAGAGCCAGTCCTTACTTGTGTTCAGACGAAGGCATCGGTACGATAAAGACCGGGAACGCAGTTAAATTTTTCACAGTATGCTCGTTGCCCACAAATATTCGTCCTTTGGTCGAGAGTTGATGTGCTTGCTATTTTTGATTCGTTGATGACTATAGAGGAAATCAATAGAAACCGACCTGAAATTTCGAAATTGAAGAACAAATATCAGAAAATCTCTTGGCATATACATATTTGGATGGGCGTATGTGTAGAAGCCGTTGCGGATAAGGTTAATATATCAGAATATCAGAATAAATTCGGATATTTGTCGGTCCAGTCTTATAACTATCCATCTTCAGATTCCTCGTCACCACTTGTTGCAGTTGTCACTTGCTGTCTTCTACGATACTGGAAGAGGTGAAGTCTCTCTCCATTTCCAGACCTCTCACACCTTCGGTACAGATCGAGGGTAACCTTGAGACTCATCATTCCCCTGCCTGATGTGAGCTAAGCCTGGGTCTCCACCACCAAGCAGCCGTAACTGGGCCCACCCACTCTGGGGATCGAAATATATCAATAATCAGATCACATGTAGGAGGAGGAGGAGTGGCGTTGATATGTTTTTAGCTTAATTTTTTTAAGCAGTTTTCGGATGAACAGAATGTCCGACTAGCTTGAAGAATTGGTCATGCGGTTGTTGGGACGGGACAACAATATTCACTCTATTCGTGAGAAAATTTGAACTAAAAGTCGTTGGAGTGACGATGACGAGATCCATGACTTAAATGATCCTGCTGTTGGACTGTCAACTACGGCATCGCCAGTATCACATTTAAAATATCAATTTTCTTGTACCTGCATGATCTTCTGAAAGACTTAAATGAGCCAACAGCGAACCCACATCCAAGACGACAAAGTTCTTGTATATCAGGTTTCCAATCGGTGACTGAAACAGTCAATACATTCCGTTGCTGCATAGCATGGATCTTATCTCTACCATATCAATGATCAACACACAAGACACACATTTCTGACTAAATAACCGACCTATTAGACAGGTACAGTACAAACCGTAACCCGTACTAACCTCACACACCTATTACCGTACACCGGATCTTGACATTGCAGAGGATGATGTTCAATTTTAACAAATTAATACACGTATCTCTGAAGAACTGCCGTGCATGTAATCTGGTAATCTCCAATGCAGCGGTGTTGCTATACTTTGTTGTGACTTAGAGGCTAACTAAGGTAATGTACACTAGAAAGGAGAGCACAGTCGCTGACAAGTCCAACTTGAAGTTTGAGTATCTGTACAGACGAATATTTTATAGTTTCGTGATAACGTGATTTGGCCCACCATCTGAAGTATCTTATCATATGCTCGTTCCTTCTCGACAGGCCAGGTGCTATGTAATGAGGCATGGCTATCTACAGCCCAATATCGAGCCTGTCGAGCTGTTCACTCTGGCAACTCTTAAATTCACCACGACTTCAATCTGCTGAACAAATCATTCTCCTGTGACAAAAGTGATAGCCTCTCGCAAGATCCGGGATCCCCGTGGTGCGAGTGAAGTCGTACATGATAGTCGAACCTGCAATGGCGGCCATGACAGGAGACCGAGAGGGAGAGAGAGCTGGGGTGTGTTCTAGAAGATGTGAGATTAAGTAGAAACACCTGAGCTTCTGTGATCTCAGAGAATCGCAAGAGGACAAGAATGTGAGAAGCTCGTCGTCACGTGGTAGTATTAAAGTTTTGCCATATGGTACCGGCAGCAGCCAGAGATTGAGTAAAAGCTGGTGCGCATGATGTTGCTTCTCTCTTTCTGAAATTGGTATAAAAGCCCGTGGACTTGTTGGGGCTGGTCTCACCTCCCCTGTCCTCCAATCTGCCCTCTCGTCCATCTTCTTCCGTTGCCTTTCCCCTTCTCAGGTCTCGACTCCTTCTGTCTGTATCTGTCTCAGTCCCATTCTCCGGTGCTCTTCTCCCACCACACAGCCTTCTGAGGATTCTCATCGAGGTTTTGATCCTTGCTGGATTTTAGTGCTCGTCGTCGTCTGGGGGCGAGATCCAGGTGGAAGAAGCACAGGCGACACCCGTGAGGCAACTGACTCGTCGATGTGGGTCTCCACCAGTGGCGAAAATTGAAATGTGAACAAGGCTGAGAGCACTGGACACTAGCACCGTATCCGTCCATCTCGTGGACATACTGTCACTGACTGCTCGTTGCTCGAGGTATGCTGTACACAGATAGCCACCACTTCGGACGTCGACTAAACTATTGTACTCTCAATCCTCTCCATCACCATCAGCACGCACCTGTGAAGGTAAGTCTAGCTACGCATCTGCCATTCACATTCTCTCTTTCTTTCTCTCTCTCTGATGATTAATTATCAAATTTTCTTCGACGCTTAGAAACAATTTCTCCCTCTAAGAGAGCTACAATGAATCGGTCACTGTTCTGAGTGAATGGTAATTCTCTCCCTGCATTCTGTCCCTCCTCTCTCCGTTCGTCCGTACCTCGCCCGCGGTCCCTCACTTCTCTAACTAGCTACAGTACCGCCTGACACGCTTACCGATGCAGCTAGCTGCAGCTCATGATTTCACGCAGTGACGAATTTCTCGTTCTGCACATGTCTGCTTCGTGAACTTGGACAGGTGCACATGTCTCTAAAAAGGATTAGGACAGTTCTGTCAGCAGTAACAAGAGCCTCAGTGCTGGCGTTCACCTGCACTCGTCTTAATGTACACGATCTCATTGTCCGACTGATTGCTTTTCAACAGCAAATACAACACTGTTCGATTCAGACCGGCTGTCAGTAGATTGAAAGCCATGCGCAGCAAGTGTTGGCGTTTGCCGTAAACCTGTAGTCATTCGGAATTATCTGGAGCCCGAGAATCACAATCACGCAGAATTCGATGCGGCTGTGGGGGACTGGAAAGCTTATTGAGCGTAACCGCCGCGCATGTGCATTCTCTGATTGTGGAACAACCGCAAGTGGCGAGATGTTATCCTTACGGATATGGAGGCAATAAGGAGGCTTTCGTTGCGTCAGCGTTTAGCTCGATCGGTCTCTGGATACCCAATACACCGGTAGGGATGTAAGGTGATGAAACACATTGTGAAGCTAGCTCTTGAATATGTGCTGTCAAGGCTTCATGACTGGAGTTCAAACCATTTAGAGTCTCCACCGTTCAAACGCCTAAATCAAGGCCCCAAATCTCAGTCTGCACTTCACCTGCAGCAGGCATAGGACTGAATCACGTCGTACATTATCCTCCTCCCTCCCTCTTATGCTGGAGATCGAAGCTACGAGTGCACGATTCCGTGCTAGTCGAACAGCTGAATGAGATATTCCTCGACGACTGGTTAACCGACCGATTGCAGGGGTACCTAGAGTGCGGCCCATCAAAGTACACGTACTCCATTTTCTTTGAGCGTTTGAGAAATGGAAATCACACCCTCCCAGCATTGAAAGCTGTTCCACACTCTCGGTCGTTCTCTAACTTGCAGAAGCTAGAACGCAACGAGCCAAGGGTGTTCTACAACAACGTCTTCCTCGAACTCGTCGTCGACGACTACGTGGTCTGACTGCGCTAATAAATTCCATGGATCGAATACGGAGCCACCGAGAAGTGAAACTCGGCTGGTCGCATTCCTTTTCGGAAATGGACAGCTTCGTCCATTTCCCTTCAGCCATCAGCCCGACACCTGGGCCGAATGCCACCCAATTTCTTATCAGTGCAATCACTGTCATGAGCGATTCCAGAACTGCATCGTTCCTGCATCACCAATTCAACATATTCGGCGTCGTCCGAGCCTTTGCTCAGACTGCTTTCGGTTATTTCGCTCGTCGTGCCTCAAAACGATCGGATCGAGTTACACTTCGAGAGGAACTGATCAGCCAGTCCGTCAATTGCATGAGAACCGCACTATATTCCGGTTTGAAGGCCGATCAGCTTGAAATCAAAGCTTCAATACGCGAATCGTGCAGGTTGAATCCAGTGCTAACGTCGTTCCAAGCTCAGATTCCAAACTCGACACAGTGTAAGTTTGACTTTCAAAGCTCCCGTAGCATAAGCTTCATAAACCTCAACACCAGTTCGTCTCTCTCTCTGTCTCTCACACAGGTGCTACAGAATCTGAGCAAGGGCTGATGGAAAGAGTAGAATGAGAGCGGATTTCGTCAATGGTCCATGATCGAATGGCACGATGTTATGAACAGTCCGTTCATCTGCTGCTACTGCAGATTCAGCTGATTGCTCTCGCGCTGCTGTTGTTCCATGATGACATCATCGCTGTCACGGGACGGGCGAGTCGCCTGCAAAGGTTCGCACGCCGGCTGCCAAGGCGGGTAACGCTGATGGAGATTGTGAGGATAGCCAGAGGCGGCAGAGAGATCGGCTCGACTGTTGTGGATGTGACGATGTCGAGCAGCGCCTGGCAGGGGAGTAGGAACGAGGCCCATAATTCGGATCACAGCGACGAATACAGCCTCCGGTCGCCGATGCGAGTCGCTGTGCCAACTGTCTCGGGAAGCGCAACGAGAAGTGGCCTGACGCTCGGCGGGAGTGCACCTTTCCACGTCCCTGGGCCCGCATGCCTCGAGCAGCGAGCAGAATGCAGAGAGCGAGCGAGCGAGGCGAGTGGGGCTCGCTCGGGGGAGGCGAGAGAGCGAACGTTTGCTGCCCCGGCAGTGGAAGAGGGATTCCCTGTTCCACCTGACCTCGCTCTGCCTGGGCCCGCGCTCAGTTCTCGAGCAGCGCAAGCTAGTGCGATTACAAGAGATTTTCGGCCCCCGATGGTGTGTGATCGCACACTGACTTTCCGATATGTTTCGACCATGACCAGCCACCCGTCCACCCAGCCATGGAGCGCAGCAGCAGCAGCAGACTCTAACGCCCTCGTTCCGCGGTTAAGTCTTCGTTGGGCTTTATGAGGGAAATTGGTGGAATTTTCAGCTTCCGAATCAGCGGCAAGACTTTCGAGATAGATAGAATGAAGCGACGAGAATACATCAGAAGAGAGAAAGGTTTGACTCGGAGGTGGATGGCCGGTTTTTCCTCGTCGTTTGAGGAGGATTTTAGATTTAGAAAGGGCAAAGACAGAGGCAGCATGAGCTCCAGCTTGCCCTCGTGAATGCAACAACGTCTGCTAAACCGGAATCAGATCTCGTCCCATGGAGGCTGTGGCTTTGCTGCTGCGTCTGGACCCAACATTTTCCTTTTTCAGAGGTTATCCGAGGCCATTAGCAGGAGCAGCACCGGGAGTTGTAGCAGCAGCAGCAGCAGACACCACTTATCGACACATTTATGACCTGAATCGTCAAGGTACAGGATAGTCCTTAGTTGCACTTGCACTGCTCACTTAATGGGCTATGACATGACGGGCAATTCTACCATGCCTCTTCTTTCCTGCTCGCGTCCCAGCTGCGTCCTTGAGGGTTCGTACATCGGGGATTGCCTGATTAAAGCTTCCAGCCCAACTGCGATGATGATTCACTCCATCAGTCGCTCAATCTCAAGCGTTGGAATCAAATCGTATGACTCGAGAGGAACTCGTCCTTTCGTTTGAAGTTAGTCTGTCAATTGATTTAGTGAGAATGAGCCAGAGACTGGTCGACTGCCGGGCAGGGTCGTGTTTCAAGTATGTGCTGACCTTTAGCGAACGCGTTCAGATGTGCAACACATTAACCCCCGGGCTCGGAGGCTGTGATTTCCTCTCCGGATGCAAAATTTTGACGCACTCTGCTGTATCTGACTCATTCTCATAGTCCTGGATGAAAGTAGAGTCCCAGTAGTCTTGTTGAAATCTCACTGTCATCCTCAGCTCGACGTGTCGCAGTCTAACCCTCAACAAATACCTTCTGTTGAGGTTTCTTGATTCTGTGCTGAAGATGCTCGAGTCATTCTTATCAGCTGGAAAGAGAGACATTCAATTTCGTTCGCAGCCTTGATTGACTTCAGTACAGTTTTCGTTCTGCTAGAATTTGAGTGTCTATGCCTTCCAAACTTCCATGTAGAAACATGAAGGACACTGAAGTGAATTACAAACAACCCAATTGCTGCGATGATTAATAATAATGTTTTATAGAGTTTTGTTTCTATTAGAGCAGGCTTACTACAGCAGTCTCCGTAGGCTAATACCATACCTCGGTTTGCAGTTGTCTCAAATTTGAGTTTCTTAGGCTGTAAACCTCTATGGAGAGTGAAATCCTTGATGCCCTTTGATTGTTTCTCGAAAGCGCAGTAATCAATTTGAATTACTTCTCCTTCGGCGAATAATGGTTCAAGAATTCGCCGTATTTGTTCAACACACTTTCTTATCAGCGTTCTATCCAATGCTCTTCACAACCACTGAACGTGGAAGTAATTCTTCTGTCGTTCGGTAAATAATTCGATCGATGACATATTACTGACTTAATCAATGCCTTGTCTCTGTTCAGATATTACTCGACCGATCGCACTTAGATCTGGGCTGGCTGTAAATCCACAGAAGAGAAAGCTCAGCAGGTCCGTGATCCGAGATGGTTGACAGGAACATCAAAGGTCCTGGGCAGCAGCACCTGGAAAAGACTCTGTACGTTAGGCTGACTGGAGTGAATCTGCAAGACCATGGAAACGCAAGTGTTATGCACGCAGCAGAGGCAGAGCATGATAACCTCCTGGCCTTGGACAACAGCAGCTTATACACTCAGCACTGGTACGCGAACGCCCTAGAACGGGAGCACCCGTCCCCTGCACTTCCAGTGATCATCGACGGCCCTTCCATCTTGGAAGATGACCTTTGGAATGATCTCCTACTCGCTCAAAATCACGCCCCTCCTCCCCCTCCTGCTCCTCCCCCTCCTCCCAGCCAGCGAGACGTGGAAATGCAGGATGAAGTGAACTTGTTGGCTCAGAAGAGGTCCGTGCCATCCACAAACAGCAGCCTCGATCTAGTACTGGAGGAGATGGACGCACTGGCTCAGAGGAGCCATGAAAACCTCACTAATCTGGATCGTGTATCTCCGGATCACCACCGTCACTCGCCCAAAGCCAGATCTGTGCATTGGCCCGAGAACGTCGAAGGTGGGGAGAGGACACCGAAGAGGCTAAAATCTGACAGCTGCAGCACTCGTCAACTGCAGGCACCAACTGCCCGAGAGGTGGGTCCAATTCCAAACACAGGCTCGAATGATGCAAGCCTGACACTACTGCCGTTGGAGCTGCTGGACCTTGAGGGCCCGGACAGTGCAGGAAATGAGTTTCAAAGGCTTGAAGGACTAGAATCCTCCAAGCTGAGTTCGTCAAACGGGCAGGGGTTTACCATGGACATCGAGGGACCAACCCACAGCACATCGAGCCCTGATACCACGAGCTCCGACTCTCAGAAATCAACCCCACACTCGAGAAGTGCAGAGAGCGTCAGCAAGAATCCACAGCCACCACCTGGCTCTTTTGCCCTCGCCAAGTCATTCGCAGGCAACAGCCAATTCCACTGCCTGGAGCCAGAGAAAGACCAGAATGTGAGTCCTAATGTCTTTCGCTCTTTGCCTATGGTGGGACTGACTGGGACTCAGGGTCAGCGACTTCCTGTGCCGTCTGTGTCCTTGCCCAAGGGTACAGCTGGTGGTGGCAGATCTGGCAGCACTCATTTGATGGAGAGGAATGTTGGAGGGCGAATCGGCGCCAACGGAGGAGCTCACAATGAATCCAGCGTAGCAAGAGAATCTCGCTGGGCAGAGCAACTTCTCTTGGACTGTGCCGTAGCCATCTCTTCCAAGAACTTCGTCAGGACCCAACATCTGATGTGGGTTCTGAATGATCTGAGCAACCTTACTGGTACAAATCTCATCTCTGTGATCCTTCCCGTTGTTTTGTGCGCTATGGTAAAGCCAGGAAATGCGATCAACTATGATCTCCTTTTGCCGATGTAGACTCTCACATACTGTAAGAGTGGTAGTTCAAGTTCTTGTATCGCATCTCCCACTTGGGGAAACATGCATCAAGAGTTCTGAGACCCAATATATACACATTATCATGAACTCTGGTCATGCATAAATGCACGTCAAGTCTTCATTTTCCACGCTTGAGTACTCTTGATGCCAAGAGTAGGCTTCATGGCACCCTAAACTTTGGCTAAAAGTAGTGTAGTTCTCGTAGAAAGATGACAGAATGGAGAGATTAGAAGCTTCTCAATTTAAGCTCCATTATGTCCAGCTGTAACCCGACAAAACTAACAACGTGCGGTGTCTCAATTGAGTGTCGTGTCTTCAAAGTTTGTGGGAGTGTACACAATCGTGAGAAATGCTATTAGCTTTTCACATATTGCCGTAATGTGTGATGGAAACAGGGGATGCAAATCAGAGGCTAGCAGCTCACGGGCTGAAAGCTCTTTTCTGTAGAGTGAACGGAACCGCTGAAGCTGCAGGGACCAGTCCCATCCAGGGGCAAATGAATGCCATTCCGAAACTCGTTCACCGAGCTCTTCAGAAATTTCACGACGTGAATCCATGGCACCAAATGGTGTACACGGTGGCGAATTCAGTCATGCTGGAAAACTTCGAAGGAGAGGACAAAGTGCACGTGATCGACATAGGAGTCAGTCAGGGCACGCAGTGGCCCACCTTCATCGAAGCACTCGCTACGCGAGCTTCTGGTCCACCATCTCTGCTGAGACTGACAGTGGTGAAAGAAGAAGAAGGAGCGGGCTTTCCGGCCTTCCCACTGGGGCCCTCGTCCACAGACTTCATGGCCCGTTTGGAGCGTTTCGCGAAACTCATGGGCATAAACATTGCGCTGAGCTCAGTCGTGAGCTCGCTGGAGGGCCTGACTCGTGAGAAGCTTGGAATCAGAGAGGGGGAAGCCTTGGCCGTGTGCACCCAATTCCGCTTACACAGGCTCTCGGAAACCATCGGTAGCGAAGACCAGCGGTGTCTGTCTCCGAGGGACTCATTTCTCCAGTTCCTGCATGGTCTAAAACCCAAAGTCCTGATCCTGAGCGAGAACGATGCCGACCATCTCTCGACGGACTTCCTGACACGTTTTCGACCGGTGGTGGACTACTTCTGGAAGTTCTTGGATTCCACCAGTTTCTCGTTTCATGGTAAACATTGTGAAGAAAGGCAGATCATAGAGGACGGAGAGGCCCGAACTTTGATCAACAATGTGGCATGCGAGGGAGAACAGAGGATCGAGCGAAATGAGTCGCATCTGGGATGGACCCTGCGCATGAAGAACTCGGGGTTTCATCCTGTGCTGCCCAAGGAGGAAATTCTCGACAATATTCGGGGTCTGATCAGAAAGTATGATGCTAACTGGGAGTATGCGGTTGATACAGACTGCGTGGTCCTCTTGTGGAAGCAGCAGCCAGTCACATTCTGTTCTGTTTGGAAACCCTCTCTACCCTTGCACATGAGCGGAGACGAAATTTAAGCCTGTGTTGCAGCCAAAGTCCAGCCACGAGGATGCCACTGATTTCTCATCTTCCTCGAGCCCGCTTCACAGGTCTCAGATTCTCGAATGCCCACAAAGTCCAGGGATGTAATTTGCTGTGGGGCCTGTCCATGAATTCGCTTTGCATCATCAAAGAGACTATCCAAAGGGACTACAAGAAGGAACTGCATAAGAACTTTGCCTCCTGCACAAAGTGATTGGATAGGCCTCTCCTTGTCAAAGCTCTCGAGGGGATCTGAGACTCTAGTGAAGCGACAGACAAGCGGAAACCTGATGGCAGATGGAGCGAACGAGATACGGAACTTCGACCTCCTTCAGCCACATTTTGCTTCATGCGTCCGTGTGATCAGAAAGACGGAGGCACTTCTGGGCTACAGAGATTGCAATCGGAGATCAAGATTCTCTCACAACCAGCGGGTAATACGATCATTCCTGCTGAAGCCACGGATCAGAAGGTGGGGCTCAGGCTCTTGGAGAAGTGGATGTGTAAAGGATTCTAATGGATGATGGTTAACGAGATTGAACCAGATAACCAGATTGAGGTCGATGGTTAGAGGAAGGGAAGTAATTGCCTTGGAATGTTAAGCCTTGTAACACAAATTTGTGCTCAAGCACGTAAAAAAGGATCATTGATCCTTTCGAGGACAGGCCGTCCACTTTTCAAGTACATATTTCGCTATAAAATTATTACTGCAGAACTGTACTCTTAACATCTTGGACTCCGACTAAACATATATAAAAGTAGTCAATATGTTATAAATGAGAAGAACGAGAGATATACATCCATGTTTGCTGTATGACATCAGTTGTTCTGTCAATGTAGGCCTTTAGCGCTGTTGTTGTAACGTGTGCCACTTTTCTCAATTCACTTGTTTCCTGCTTGATCGATCGGATGCATGGAGAAGGAGCGAGGAAATGCCAGAACGAAATGAACCGGGCATCTTGACTAGTGCTAGTCAAGGCAGAAGAAATGTCCTACCTTGGCTCCGTTACTAGTAGTATCAGTGTCCAACAGATTCATCACTTACTTTTCTATGTTGGAAGTAGAAACATATGAAGATATGAACACACGAAGACCCGAAGACGTATTTTGTACAATATAAATGCTCATGTTCCGTTTAAAGAGCATTCAAGGATAAACAAATTTACAGACTGTCCAGTAGTTTTGCAGAATGGAGAACTATTCTATGGATTTATGACTCATGAGCATGAGCATTTATATTGTACAAAATACGTATTCGGGTCTTCGTGCTCATATCAAATTCAACAATGGAGAATTTGATGTTTATAAAAATTCCATAGCATGCATTGCAACGCTTTTTGTCCTGTGAGCTGCATTGTACATGTGAAAAGCGGTCGGTCAATAGCACTTGCAATTCCTCCAAGTCCTTAATCTACTGAGCAAAGAAGCGCATTACACTATCTAGAATATCACCGGAGATCAAATATTTGGGACCAAATATTTGGGATCAAATATTTGGGCAACAAATCAGTGCTTCCATGTGACCAAGAATCTAAATTAAACTGAATAGACGTTCAAGCTCCATCAGATGATTTGGGTAAAAAACAAAATCGAGGTTGTTAGACAAAGTTCACTTGCTTCAAACATAAGGACGATTAAGAATTCTTCATGTCGGGCTAAGTCCAGTAAGCTGTCAATCGGTCTACATCAGGTAAATTCCTCAATCATGGCCTTCAGCTGTACCCATAAACAGGAATCTATCAGGAATCTTTCTCACCACTACCACCTTAGGAGTGCTTGATGCGCGAATTGTCTTTTGTTAGGTGCACTTGTTAGGTGCACTGAGGATCTGGGAATGCGTCGCCTAATAAGGGCTTCCAGATCCTGCTTCTCGGCGAAAGATTAAGATCTGCAACTCTATACGTGCTGAAGATTAATTATGAATCGGTTTGGCAAAAACTTTCGATCTAGCAACTCTCTGACTATAGAAGGAGAGATTTACAGAGTTCTTTTGGGAACCTGCCAGTTACCAAGCCTCAAATAACGTTGACACTCCAAATATGCAGTGAAAAATATGTATATATCAGTAGGCTTAGAGTGACATGTAATATATGTTCAGCTCATTCTATCATTTAAATCCCTTCCCTGATTGAACCCTTGGGAAATTACCCTCATCACGTTCGGCAGGAAGAGATGGAATATCTTACTTTCGGAGAAAGTTGCCTGTAGAGGTTCCTAGAAGTCTCAAGATCAACACAGTATTGCTAAATATCTCTCGAATTATATCGAAGGTTAGTATGAGTGACGTGTCTCCTGCCTTAGATGGCGAGGTGACAATCAAGGCGTTTCGGGAATCCTCGTGCACTGTTTCTAAAACATTATCACCATGTCTCAACCCTATGGCTGAAAAGCAACACCAATCTCTTCACTTCTTGTGGAATCAGCTGGGCCACCCACATGCTGGATCACTGGACCGCCCACACATTCAGCGAAGAGAACGAATAATTGAAACTTCTATATGCTATGTTATCCACCACATCCTGAACCAATTCCTGCAGAGGATAGCTCCGCTTACCACATATGGTCCGAGTCAAGCAGCAGGGAGCATAAGTTGTAAGTCCCATCCTTTTGTAAGAAATAGACCATGTGATCCAATCTCCATGAAGGAGTACGAATCCAATTTCCCAGTTGTCTAAGTGACACAGTCCTTATGACGGGCTTCTATCTCACATCATGCGTATTCATGCGTTAGATCGTTGGACAACTGTTTTTTGAAAGGATGATATACGATTGCGCGACACATATGTCATTTGTATATGATAAATTCATCATCCCTTGGACCATCTTCAAGAAGCGTGGAGGAGTAAATTCTAAGTAAGTAAATTCTTTTATACCGATACAGCTCATGATTTCCCTTTGTTTTAGCACAGTATTTGTTGTCCAAGCGAATAGTACAAGGTCCGGATTTAGTAAGGCTATTTCCACGGACCTAAACGCGTTTGGACATGGCGAACCGTAGAATCTCTGTGAGTTTCACTGAAACGGGGTAGATTTACCATGAGAAGACCAACCTCAGGTTAACGCAGGCCAAATTGGGACTGAAAGAGATGAAAGAATTCTACCAAGTCATTACTCAGATTTACATATAGTAGTTTTAACACAGGTGGGAAGTGGAATCTCTCATTCTGACCGACAAGAAACCAGAATGCCACTTTTACGGGCCTGGAGTGATCGTCTATTTTGATCTAGATACTGTCGATAGATATTATATATATATGGATCCATTAACACAGACCATGTATTAGATTTCGAGTTCGTCATGATCTTGCTTCTGACCAGAACCAGCCACCACGGCTCCCTTTCAAATTGTCCTTACTGATAAACAATGCGGCAGTTGCGGCTTACGAGCTCGGACTTGAAACATACAAAGGATCGACCGTCATCGCAAAACCTGCTGGCTCGCCATTTTCTTACAAACAATGGGCTCAAATTTCTGGACTTTCACCTCTCTCTGTGTCTATCGCTTTTTCAAAAATTAATCCTCTGCTTCTTTCGCTGAGCTCTGTTTTGCTGGATTTGCCTATTCTTGGTGCTTTTCTAACTGTACTATCTATCCAATATACTTGGCCAAGTACTTTGCATGAGCTCTAACCAGAAGAGGAATATGCAACGTGTCAGAGCTATATTCTGATCTTATCTATGGCCCGAGGTTTGAGTGCATCTCAGCATATATATACATACACGTACGATCAGTCTCTCTGTATATTCCTCCCCCAGATGCCTTGTCTGAGAGCGACCATTGCACCCGTTTTTCGCCCGATGCTCGCACGTTTCTGCTTAATCATCAGAGAAAGTAACAGTAAAGTCGAAATGAGCTACTTCAAGACAATACAAACTACAAAAGCGAAAGGAACCTGAAACTACGGCAGACTCCATGTCCTCATCCTCTAGAGTAATAGTTACTTCAGGGAAAAAGGCCGTACATACTAAGGATGAGTACAGTATTCACACATACATCATAATTGAGAGAACAGCTGAAACGAGCTCTCTGATTATATCGATGTACAAGGACTACATGTGCTGACTACGTGTTAGAGAATAGTGTGAACAACGCGGATCGTGAACTGGACGCTATTGAAACTGTGAAGCACTGCAGTAAAAAGAATTTTCACTTTTCTATGGCAATGATTACGAGAGAGAAAGCTACTAGTCATGAGTGGACAGAATCTGAAGTCCAAGAAAAGCGCAGCGTCGTCCATGAGAAATATAAAAGGGAAAATAAAAAAAAAAGCGCATGCAGAAGGTGCACAAAGAGCACAAAGGAGGACGAGAAGTATACACAAGACAAGGAATAAACAAAGAGGGCCAGTATAGCTGATCCGCTCAAATGTTTTTTATACAGTTTTGTTCCAGTTAGTCAGTAAGATATGCAAAATGACATCGTGGTGATTCCCACTGCTGTTACAAGCTGCATTCTCTGCAGCTGTCATAGTTTGCACCTCAAGATTCGTCCCTCGCCATTGGTCGTTCCTTTTCTCTGGGACTAGATTATATACTATATCCGATTCAAGTGCTGAAGCTAAGCTTGCGCTTGAAAACGGTGGCAGAAATCTTGATATCTAAGCGGGTTCTTTGACGTTTTAATGTAAAGAAATAATTCTGGTCAAAAACCAGCAGATGGAGTGCACAGATCTGGCACTGTGGATATCTGCTGAGAAGACCGCGAAATCTCTACACAATTTTGAAATCTCAGTAAGTTTCTGGGTAAACACTGAAGCTATTATACAATACACTTACGTATGTACAAGTCAGAATGTAAGGGATGAATGAATAACTAGTTTCGCTTCTAAGCGCTTGTAGTTTGGATTTGGACTATAAATGTGTTGTCTGCAGTCTGCTGCTGGGAACCTTGCTAAGACCTGAAAGAGCAAATACATGGACATCGAAAGTACCCCATCGAGGACTGAAGAACAATCGAAATCCTACAGGTGATGTGATTTGCACAGACTGGGCACTGGAATTTCAAGTGCAGTCAAGAGCAGTATGTGAAAATCACAAACTGTGCCGATATTTGTGAATGGGCTGAGTTGAGCTGAGCTCAGCTGCTTAGCCTAGAAGCCTTCTACAATATCGAAGAGTCTACCAGTACTTCAGAAGCACATGGTTGAACTCATCATTTGCTTGAACTCGGTGATGTCGATCTCGCCATTACCGTCGGCATCCACACTGCGAATCATTTTCTCGCAGTTCTTCAGGCTCTTCCCTTCCGGCATTCCGAGATCCAGCAGGACGGTCTGAAGCTCTTGAGCTGTAATGAATCCGTCGGCATTTTTATCGAACACCTGAAAAGCTTCAAGCAACGTCTCCTCCTCGTCCTCCGTCTGTTGCTCGACCAGAGACATGTACAGCGAGAAGAACTCGTCGAAGTCGACGCTGCCATCGCCATTGTGATCGACGCTCGCCAGCATAGACGCCGCCTCTTCCTCGGACATGTGAAATCCCAACCGGCCCATGAACTGACGCAGATCCTTGGCGCAGATTCGATCGTCGGTGTTCTCATCGAACCTCTGGAACACCCTTCTCATCTCTTCGGGATCAGATTTTACCGACTCCAGGCTCACCGCCGCCTTGTCGCAAAACTCATGTGCAGCCGAGTACTCCTTGCAAGCCGAGGAAACCGACCGCCTTGAGCAATTCCAATCATCTTTCGTCAACCCTTCAACCACGTCGCACTTCACAGCCGACGACTGCTCCTCCTCGGCTTTCACGGAACCCCCACAGCCAGCCTCCTCCCCCTTAGCAGTAGACGACGACTTGCTGCTACCGCTCCGTTTGCTGCTGACACATTTATGCAGCTTGAAAAACCACGCGCTATCGAAGAATGAAAGAGTCCCACTCGATTGAACTGCTGCCATTCTTCTCGACAGAAATTAAGAACTTCAAAACCGCCTCCAGACAAGCTACCACACCAATCCACGCGAGCCTGTCCACGTTCAATTTGTAAATCTCTCTCTTCTACAAGAGTCCGAAGTCCACGATCTACGCAGACCAACAGAAACTCTTTGATACCAAACAACACTGCAGATATCTAATAACAACACGTCGACCTTACTTTATAATGAAGAGAACGGACAGAGATAAGAGAAACAAAGAGATGAAAGGAAGGAGAGAGAGAGAGAGAGAGAGAAAGAAAGAAAGAGAAAGAATGAGGATGAGAGGATGCGAAGAAATCCAGACATAGGACTTGCACTGGCAGTGTGGACAAGTCGATCTTATACGGGCAGAATCTGATTTGCTCACGCGTTCCTGGTCTCGGAGCCCGATTCAGGAAATATCAGATCTGCCAGACTGCGCAGCACAATACAGCAAAGGACAGCGCAGCTCAACTCGGCCGGGTCGATCCAGTAAACCGCCAGTCCGAACGGACCAGATCGGACATACCGGGAGTCGGACTGTTTTACCCTTTTACCCTTTTACCTTTTCACCTACGCGGTCAGACCGAGCGGTCCAAACCCGATGGGAGACGAAGTCGGCGTAAGTCGGTTCCCGGGGCGCTTTGGGAGGTCGGAGCCCCTGTCGTCTTGTCTCACCGGAAGTCGTCGGTTTCGCCTCCTCGTTCGCCCGCCAGTCGGTTGAAGTGTGGGTGAACGAGGTTATCGAGCCACCGGCGCGGTTCGGCGCGACTGTCAAGGAAAACCAGGTGCAACCGAAAGTTGGCCGCTAAACACCCACGCAGTTGGGGACACGTGGTCATTGTGGAGGCTCGGGTGTTGAACACGTACTGCGAGCACCGGTCGCGTGGAAGGAACAGTGGACCTGCTGACTTGTACCAGCACGCAACGCCGGGTGGAGCTACGTGGCTTGGTGCTGGTTCTGGTGGATCGACCTGTGACGGTTCAATTTAGCGTAACCTCCTGAAGCACAGGTCGTGAGGCCGACACTTGGGACTTGTATGAATTCTTCGGTTTAATTAAGACAGGTTATATTTACAAGATTGATGTAAAGAACATATCGGAGTACGGTGCACATTGTTTTCTCCTTATCGATTGAACTGGTCCACCTTCTTCTGATGAGTCATTCACGTTGTAAAAGTGAAAAGAGCGAGTAATATGGCAGAAAGTCTTACATTGACGAAACCAAGTCGGTTGTATGGGTCTAGCCCAGTAGCATCGCAGTGGGCAAAATGTATAGTGCACCTAAAATTTCTTGATTATGAAAAAAACTGTACATCTGATTTGTGAAATATAAAAAATCGCATTAACTGATTGCATAGTAATGTTCACACATGGTCTGAAAGAGCACGCAGAATATGATATTATAAATATTTCTCTCAAATTATATTGACACTTTGTCTGAACCAGAGTCAAACTTTAATGCCAATGGAAGTACCAAGTGTATATCAACCAATTATCCATTATTACATAGTTGTAAAGATATCACTAGCACTCATGAACAAAATTTTCAAAGTATGTGTGTCATAATAACTAAATTGATGATTAAGTTATTATCATTAATGCAGATAGTTCTACCGTATATTATTAATAAAAAACAATTTAGATCATCTTATCAGATTGCAGGTGTTGTATAGGTGTTTGATATAATAACTAACAATCCCATTATTTTTGTAAATAATTTTGCTTTATCATTTTCCGGTTACCATTTTATTTTATTGTACATTTATTTCAAAGTATTGTTATAAGTAATAGAGAAAATTTTATTTTGAAACATGAATCAAGAAATGGATTTTTAATTTAGTGTCTTGGTTGAATTTAATCAGTCAGACTTTGTTAGGTGAAGCTAATAATATGTCTAGTATGAACATTCTCTGCAATGTAAATTAAAGTTTTCATTATGAATATATGTATAATTATTGAAAAGAAAGTCATATTTATTTCTTTAACGAAGCTTCGTTGAAATATTGCAGATGTTTGTTGAGACGATTCTGTTCAAAATGTTTCTTATTGTGATGATTAATTTTAACTGGTTTTTTGAATATATTTCTCATCACAAAAATATTCAAAGACTAGCTTTGGATACTAATGTACTTCTATTCATTGAATTTCTTGATGAAGTATCTTTGCTTGTATATGAATCTGGATCTTTCTAGTCATGATAGACATATACATTACAAATGTTTGTTATAAATGAAACTATTGATTTTATTATGAAACTAAAAAATCTATAATTGATTAAAATAAAATTATCTATTTTAAAAAATACATTGAAATAAAGAATCACTCATAAAAAACCAGAGGGATTTGAATTCAAAATCATTGTCCTTTTTACTATGTAACATTACAATGAAACGCCACTATAAAAAAATGAAACACCACTAAAAAAATCATCTTTTTAAAATTAAAAAAAAGGATTAATGTTCTATTTTATTATTTATTATTTATTATTATAATTATAATAAATATTTTCATAAGTTAAAAAAATATCGATGTATAAATATATACATTTCAATCGACTGCATTTACTCTTAGTTAGGATTATTATGAAAAATAAATGATTTTCCATACATTGTCAGTTATTTTCATAACATATTGAGTCTGATTTATTTATTTGAATTTTTTACAAGATTGAGCAATCCACATAATTTTTGAATTCTAAAATTTCATTCTGACGAATGATATCAGATAAATAAAATAAACCTCATGATACAAGAACTTCACCTGGATTTTATTATTCTTTCAAAAATAATTATAAATGATTTTCTCAAGTTTTTCACGACATTTTTGGTGAAAAATAATACTTCAATTTAATCTTTTAGAGTTTTAGAACCAAAATTATCTTTGGTATCATAAAAAATTCATTTATAGATTTAATATTTCTTTACAATATTTTAGATATATTCTTATATCATTTGGTTTGAAAAAGAAATCACTGATTTGATTTGATATTTATATGTATTTCTGTTCATCTAGTCCATAAATGTAACAGAAATTATTTTGATCCTTTTAACTCACTGAAATGTAAATTTTTGAAGGTTAGATGTAAAGCAAGTTTTTTACTTCTAAGGGAGCACAATTTGGGAAGACAAGTCACTATTAAGCAAAAGTTGTTTTGTCGTGGCAAATATGAATACCCAACAGTATGGATAAACAGATAAATAACTGTTATTAAAAAACATATTTCATTTCAATAAATCTAGTTAAATTATATGGAAAGATATTTCATCTAAAATTATATAATTAATTGTGATTATATATTTTGGAATATATATTTATAAAAAAATTTCACTGGAAGAGCACAATAGTATTCACAAGTTTTTTTTTTCAGATATTTTAAAAAAAAACTAAGGTTTGTTCTAAAACTTCTGTTTCCAATGTTTCAAAAAAATACAATATCTTGTGTTATGTATGATAACAAATTCAGATTAGATAAAGTGTATATGAACTATCATATTGTTTGTCGATGATTTGGTTTAGATCATTTGAAAAGAAATACTTTAATAGGACGACTATTGATACCAAATGTAAAATTTAATTTTACGATTGGAAGCATCAATATTATCTCTAAATATTTTTGTCTATATTACTTGATATTTTATTTATGATAATTTTCTTTTCTGAGAGTCTAAGACGCCACTACCTGTAAACTCTTCTATGATAACTAAGTTAATTACACATAGTCTAGTAATGAAGACAAACAAGTTATAATTGAAATGAATGATTACTCACTTTTATTCAAATTATTGATTGTAAAATGTATTCTTGATGATATAACAAATTTTGAATATGCATCATATGCAAATCTGATGCATATATAAAAATTTCTGTTGTCATCATTTTGATTCATCATTTAATTATAAACATATTATTTTACGTGTGGCATACAAATATCCTGTTTTTTAAAATACATGATATCTATTATTCAATATCAATATTTTACTTTATTTATGTTTTTTTGGTTCTTTATATGATCCAATTATCGTAGTGAAAAGTTAGTAAAATTTTTTAAGTGAATGTTGATTTTTAGAAGAAGAATTTTAAGGAAAATTCAACATATGAAAAAAAGATATTAATATATATTACAAGAAATTAAAAGAAAAAATAATAGATTGATAATTTAAAGAGTAGTTTTATTGATTATATTTCAAAGAAAATATATATCTTTGGAAAAAGAAAATATCATTTTATTACGTGTAATCAGATAAGAATACTAAAGGTGATCAAGAAAATATTTACTGAAACCTTCAAAGAGGCAAAAGTAAAATTTAGAATATATTAGTTATCTATTTGCAATTATTTAAGTTATGAGTTAGAACAAAAAAAACCAGGTATCAATTTGATAACCAATTCACGTTTTTTTTTTCAATCATAATTAAAAAATTTCATTGTTGTAACTTCTCATCAATATTAACATTGAGTTTAATATGATTTCATTACATTGAAATTCAGATATTTTTAAAAAATGGCTAAAATTGTTAATTTTTCCATACAAGAATCACAAAGTTTTGTCAATCTGAATCATCTAATAGTCAATTACTTCTCACATGTGATATGAATTTGCTTAAGTATTCGTTATTCTAATATAACCTCTTATAATTTTAAATTCAGTCCATGTATTCAATTCTTGTGGATCCGATGATTTTGATAATTTTTGATTATAATCCAAATGTCAATATTTTACTAAATTCTTTGATGATTATCAATTTTTAATAATGTAATATTTTTTCATTTTTTGGGTTATTTTGTTACATTTCTAATTTCAGAACTAAATTGCAGTATTTTCATGCAATAAAACCGAGAATTACAAATGACTCGACTGTCTCAATAGGAAACAAGGCAAACTAGAGAAGGTCAAAACGAGACTGAAATAAATCAGGGTTTACTCAGGGGCAGGACTCCATTGCGAAACACGCGAGTGTCTTTACTATGTATGTGGTATGTATGTATATTGCTACATGGTATGTCAAAAGCGATGTAGAATCACCTTGGAGTATTTAACCTTCGTTCAGGCAACCACCCTTGGTACATACCCGGAGTTAATCTTAACGTATGTTAAGACTGGAATTTACGCTGGAATTGACAATTATAATCATATTGCGGAAAAATCTAGATATAATAAAAGATTTTGATTGTACTATATCATATTAAATTAATAGTAAAGTTATTTATATAATGATTTCACATTTAAACTAGTTAAAAAAAAATTCAGTTTGATATATTCATAACACTGAATGTGAAATATAATGATGTGTATATTTTTTTTATTCAATAATAAAATTTTCAATAAATCATAAATCATAAGTTTAATTTGTCAAAATTTTGCAGTTG